TGTGGATTCTGAGTAAATTTGCCAAGGCTGACACACTCATCTTCATCCAGATGAGTCAGTGTGGTCTGAGAAAGGGACTGCAGCCTCCAGAGTGCAACACCACCAGCCCCTGATCCACAGCCCTCTGCAGACCCCTTTACAGCAGGGCCTCTCATACTGAGAAGGGGAGAAGAGAACAGAGAACAGCATGGGAAAGGCCAAGGAGGCTGGAGGGAACACTGTGGGAAGGTGGGAGTCCTGTGGCCAGGACTGTGGACCTGGGTGATGAGTCTCTGGGACTGGCCTCCAGCTGCTTGGAGATTCTAGTGTGTATTTTATCTCTGAGCCTCACCCCTCCCAGATCAGAATCCTCTTCTCAAGCTCCCTCCCAGGGTGGCTCCAGGCTTGGTTCTTAGGCAGCGGCACTGGAGGGAAGAAGGCAGGATAGGAGAGATGCTTATGAGCTAGTGGCGGGGAGGCCAGTGGGGCAGGACAATTCCCCAGAAGTGGCAGCTCAGCTCCCTGCCAGAGAGAAGCCTGCTTGGGGCAGTGGCCAGGCCCTGAGGGTGCTTATTCTCTGTGGCTGCCCCGGAGGGGCAGGGCTGCAGCTCAGATGGCAGCATTGGAGGCTGGCCAAATTGCTCACAGCTTCAGTGTGGGTGCAGGGCCCACAAAGGCCATGGTGAGAGCCTCCTTGGTGGCTCTTCTCTTGGGGGCTTGGAGGTGGGACCTCAGCAGGTGCACATGTGGGCTGCAGAGTGTTTCTGGGCTTCCTCCACAGCACCTCACCAGCTCAGGAATACCTCACTCAGCAGCTCCTCTGCTCACTCCACTGCTGTGTCCGGCCAGGCAGACAGAAGCACATGGAGACATGGAGAATGTGGCTGTCTGTGAGAGAGGCCCAGGAGACACTGGCCGCACTGCGGCTACCTTGACTCAGGGTCTGGATCCAGGTGGGGAAATGAGCTTCTGTTGTCTCAGCCTCAGTCTGTGCCACTTTGTCATGGCCGCCCCAGCAAACCCCTCCAGGAGACTAGAGGAGGACCTGTCCTGGGCAGACATGTGCTGTCCCTCGATTGTGTGTCTTGGGATGGCTCATTCTTCTGGTGCACCTTTGCCCTCTGGGTACTGCACTCTAGGTCTTCTCTGCCTAATACAGGGAAGCAATGCCAGTGGGTGGAGGCTGAGCCTCTTGCCGGAGCTGCATGAAATGGAACTTGACTCTGGCCCTTTGAGGACCTGTTCTGCCATTTAGGCAAAGTACTATCCTGAGAAGCCTCAGTTTCTCTCTCTGCAAAGTGGAACATTGAGCCTCTCTTGATGGATGGTGGTAGGATTTCAGAGGAGGGGGCATGTGACAGGATCCACCACAGCGCTTGGTGTGCTGTTGGCCCTCTAGACAAGTGGATGCCCATCTGCTTTCCCTTGGATATGGAGCAGGGCTTTGATTCTCGGGCTCAGAATGCAATCTGATCTACTCTCTCCATGCAAGGGTCAGGAAAGCAGAAAGCCTAGTCTGGGGACATGGAGGGAGTAAGCCAAGTTTCCTTGGTCCCAGGGCTTCAGACCTGACATGTGACACCTGCAGGGAACTAGAAAGCCACCCATCCACTCAGTGTGGTGCACAGCAGCAAGCAGAATGAGTCAGTGCACCCTGAGCCTGCAGCCAGTAAGATGCTGACTTTGGATTCATAAAGAGGAAAGGTCGAACTCTGGTTTTATTAGCTGTGTGACCTGGGATAGAGTTTTCATTTATCTAAGCTGTGTGTTCCCTCTGGGATAGGGATAGACCTTGGGATGACAGAGATGACAGCCGTAGAGAGATGGGCAATTGGCAGCTGTCCTGTCCTCCACTCACCCTGTGAGGGTCATCATCATAGTTACCTTATGGTTAATTTGAGAACAATATCTATGACTTGGGACTAAAGGGCAGGCACTGAACTGATGCTTTGAGCACCACCTTACTCCTTTCAAGATGATTTTGATGGTCCATTGGAAATGAGTTCTTGCCTTACTATGCTCACCACAGTGGGTGACACTTTGGTATGTGATGAGATCACTGTAGCAGCTCAGTGATCACCCTGGTGAAATGGGACCACCACCCAGGACTGGGTGGCCTTGGGAGTCTGTTTCTTCTAGGAGCTGGATGAGTGGGACAGGCAGGAAACCCCCAGCCCCAGAGATACTAGCAATGTGGACTCACTGGGCCAAAGGGCTGCTTTGGTAGACAGATCCAGCTTCAGAAACGAGTCTATCGAGAGACTGAGGGGGTCCAAGTAGAGCTAGCAATGTTGCTGGAGGAGAAGTCAGGTCCATTTTGGGGTTGCTCTTCCAGCTCTGTGTGCACTCTCTTGAATGCAAATGGTCTGTTGTTTATCCTGTCCCATACCTCCATAGGCACCATGCCCAGTTTAAGCTTCTGTGTCATTGCTGTCCTATGAGGCTGGTGTTACCCCAACATAGAGCTCTCTCTTGCGAACCTCCAACAAGTGTGTCCAGGACAGTGGCTATGGACCCCAGGCTGCTGTCTACACAGAGGAACCAGTGACAGCTCTCAGTGCCCCTCCTCCCATGGGTTTGTCTGCAGCCTACATGAGAAATGGTTTGAGAGTGTCAGGGGGTGACTCTGACAGCAGGGACTCAGCCCTGTCTGCATCTCCCTGTCCCCTGGTCTTATGGAAGCTTCTTTAAGAAATCTTTCAGCCCCACGGGTTTGCAGATACAAAGCAAAGCAGACAGGTGAACTGAATCAGCATGGTTTGGGCTTAGAAGACCCACCTGAGGATTGTGGCCAGTGGCATAAAAAGGGAACCAGAGGGGAAGACAATTGGCTGTTGATTTTCTAGGAGCCCTCTTTCTAGGAGAAGCTTGCTTCAGGTGGTTTTCCTGATGCAAACTTGGCTATTCCCATCAGAAGAGCACAGGGCCTTGTTGTCACTGAGGATGGCTGCTGTCCTCATCAGGGGAGCTCTGATCTTTGCCATGACCATCACTTTCTGGCTCCAGTATAGATCCCTCAGCTTGGTGGCACAAATCCTTTACCCTGCTGGTGCAGGCTTTCTAGCTTCCACTGTTGGCCTCTGGGCCTTCCTGGTGCAGATCCTTGATACAAAGAAGCATGAGTTATTGCCATGGGCTCTAGGCCATGGGATGGACTCATGGAAAACATTGCCTTGGACTCTAGGCCTTCACCTGGACTTGTGCAGGACACTGCTGGGGGATCCAGGCCCTTGGCTGGAGGATTCTTAGGGTCTCTAGTGCTTGGTTCAATGTCTTGCACTCCTCTGCATTTGACATTTTAGGTGACTATTACAAAATAACCCTATAAATTTTGTGTCTTGTATTAAATCTATTTTCCTTGCAAAACCTGGCTACAACAGGCAGCAAGGTCCAATAGAAAGGAATGGGCCCACAATCAGTGATTCTCAGGAGACCCAGTCAGCACCACCCCAGGATGTGCCCCATTGAGCTCCCCTGGATACTGCATCTGTTCCCTCTACTCCTCCTGTGGATTTGGGGAAATCTTTTGAGTCCTCAGGTCCCCTACACCCCAGACATCTTATCATCCTGGAGCTACTTCCGGGGCTGCGGCTACAGCTCTGGTGCTCTCTTCCTTGTCACTGCAGGATGTGTGGCCACTAGCCCCACAATCTCAACCCTGTGTGGTGCCTGAGAAGCAGCTGCTGTCCCTGCTGCCCTGCCCTATGTGAGTGATGACCCCTGCAGGGTACTCAGTGGGCTGACAAATTCAAGACTCAACCTAGAAGATTACGGGGCTGGTGCCAAATGTCTGCTGGCCTGGTTGTCTGAGGGTTTGGCCTTTGCCATCGTTGAGCAGGGATGGACAGAACCTTTGGATCAGCATCTCAGGGTGCCAGGGCCTGGCCCTAACCTTGGGCAGCCGAGGTCCTGATGAAGTCTGGGGAGGAGCTTTCTGGAGGCCACAGGTGGGGATGTCATGGCCAGCCTTGCACTCTTCTGGCTACTTTGACCCCGGCATGCTGAGAGCCGAGTATGAGCACGGTGCCTCCCCAGAGGTCAGCCTGGGCTTGGGTTCTGAGGTGACATGGGATATTAAGGCCCATGATGACTCATGTGGGTGGGACATAGAGGGAGCCACCTGGCAGTTGAAGCCTCAGTCTCCACAGCCCAGGGTGAGGCCTTCCCTGGGTAGGGGGAACTGAGAAGCTTTCTACTCAGCACCAAAGCCAAAGAGCTGCAATGATGGACTCTGGACTTGCAATGGATCAACTCAGGAGAAATGCAGAGAGGCTCATTTTATACAACCACCTATGATGGCCGCGCCCTGGGAGATTGCACTGAAAGGTGGAAAGATATAGGTAAGCTATGCATGCCTTCCCAAGGATGTCTCATTTATGCATACTTGCCCCACCAGGTGCTGTGCTCTGGGCCTAAGTGTCCTCAGCAATCCTACACAGGGGGGCTATTGACTGTCCTGCTCTAAAGTGAGGGTCAGAGAAGTGCAAGCCTGTGCCCAAGATCACACAGGTAGAAAGAGGCACACCTCGATTCAAATTCAGCTTGGTTTGGACCCGAGATCGCACTTTCTGTGGCCAGGACCTCTGGCTGTCCTGGTGTTACGGTTAGGTCGAGGTTGTCCCCAAAGCTGCACATGCTCGAAGGTGAGGCTTTAGAAAGGTGACTGGAGAATGGGGGCTCATGGCTGATTTGTGTTAGGAGGTAGGGTCTGGCCAGAAGAGGCAGTCACTGGGGCGTAGTGAAAGGGTGCATCTCCCTCCTTGTCTCCTCCTTCTGTTCTTTGCTCCCTGCCCCCATTCATGAGCAGCTTCTCTTCTGCCAGACCCCTCTGACATTCTGACTTGGAACCAGGCAATCATGCAAGGACCAAGACTTTTACAAACGTGAACCAAAATAAACCTCTATTCCATGAATGTGTGGGTATTGGGTGTTTTGTCCCCGTGATCGAGATACCTGGGATGCCTGGGCTCCTAGGTGTTCTCCATCGGATGAGGTTTTACAGTGTACTTCTGGATGACAAATGCTAGGTGGAGCTGGGATCTGATCTAGGAAGATGGCGCTAACAACTTCTGCAGTATCAAGTGTGCAAGGGTAAGGGGAGGGTAGCAGGTGGGGGACATGTTACCTATGGTCCTGGGTCAGGATAGGGATGTCTTACCTTTGCTGCACCCTGGATTCACCCAGGCTGCATCTGACCATCCCTGGGACCTCTGGGCTGGGTTGCCAGGATCCAGGCAGTTGGAAGTTTCAGATGCCAGGTGTGGACCCTATCTAGAGCCAGGGCCTCTCCATCATGAGGGGTCCAGGGTGACACCCACTAATAGGGCTCAGTGTGGGATGGAAGCAGCTAGGGAAGTCAGGATTCCCTCCTGGGACCTGGCTAGAATGGAACCCTACCACTGCTGTGCACCAGAAAGAAAAATTGCACTCACATAAGCTAAAAGATAACTTTTGTTAAATAACGAACACCGTAAAACAGCTGTGAGATGGTATTAAAATGTCTGTGGTGACTTATTTCTCAGCATTCGTCTGGTATCTGAAGCAGCATGAAGCAAGAACTGCACTTAAAAAATGACAAGAAAATAATGATTCGTTGAGTTGACAGAGTAAGGCCTGTCTTTTGTCTAGGGTTGGGTTGTCATTGTCATTGCTTAGGACCAGGTGAGTGTCATGAGGGAGGTCATGTCAGGGGCATCCTAGGTCTTCCTGGCTCCTCTTCCTCTGGTTCCCAGCACCAGTGTGGAGCCACTTTCTAGGAGCCTGGGGCGCCCATTGTGCCCACCTCCCCAAAGGCCCAAGGCTTCGAACTGCGGTGGGCAGGCGGCTGTGGAGCGACACATTCAGGGCAGCATGGAGGGCGTGAGGGGTCTGGGGACCAGTGCCACCTCTTCCTGGCTTCACATCCTTGGGGCTGTATCCTTCTGCAGATGGTGACACCTAGTCCCTGGCAACTGTTCTGTGTTCCTTGTCCCCAGGCCCATTTTCTGTTTCCTGGGAGGAAAGTCTCGTGGATGCTTAGGATGCAGAGAAGCCAGATGGCCACTGACAGCAGAGCAGATATTCCCTGCCCTCAGCCTATTGCACCTTGACCATGTTCCATAAAAATAAATGCTTTTTTTTTTTTTTTTTTTTTTTTTTTTTTTTTTTTTTTACTGTTTGTATATTGCTAATGCAATGGTGTTCAAGGCATGGCAGCTGCGCAGACAGCAAGCACGCTGTCGTCCCTCCACCTGGACTCGTCCCAGACATCCCCGTGGCCAGGGGCTTTGGAGCCCATGTGTGCAGAGCCCACGCAGTGCTGTGATAATGGAGTTAAAGGAGGAAACAAACAGGGAGTCAGGGTGGAAACTCCAGCCATCAGGTGTCGTCTGCACTGCCCGAGTTGCCCCCAGTGCCCGGTCCCTCCTGGTGCCTGCAGGAAGCTCACAGGTGGTTGTTCTTGGAGAGGTAGGCAATGAGGGCGACAGCCACACCCACATAGATGCCAGTGCCAATGGTGATGGACAGCACTGCCAGGAAGAGGGCACGCCGGGAGCTGGTGCTGGCCTGGTGGAAGTCGCCTTGAGCCACGGCCTTGTTTGTCTGCAGGTGGAGGAGAGAAAGGAAGCGCAATGAGGGGGTGAGCGAGCCAGGTGTGTGGGGTCACCCGAGCCCCCCCAACCTTAACTGACCCGGAGGAGAGGTGAAGGTGAGCCCAAGGAGACAGCACAGGGCTGAAGGCAGCTGGGTGCAGCTCAGCAGGTGAGGACAGCACTGTCATCTACGTGACACCCAGCCATCTCTAAAGGAGGCGCACACTTACCCTGCCAGTCTCTACGACAGGGACAGGTGAGGAAGGAAATATGGCTCTCGTTTCCCAGACAGAAAACTAGGCCATGAGGCTGTTCATGAGCTCCAGGATGAGTGCTGCTTGTGTGCACATGGCTGGCCCTCAGGTGGCCATGGTACCATCATCTTCTGGCTGTCCCTGCCCCTCCATAGTTTCAGTTGGTGAAACTCCTCCCTGTGTAAATCGACCCCACCTGAACACTTGAGGACTTGGGTTAATAAGAGGGCATCTCGGGGATGCGAGGTGGATGGGAATATGAAGTGGACAGGGGTTTTCCAGCTGACTCCATAGGCCCAGCCCCAGCCCATCCTTCCCACCCACCCCACAGTTGAGACGGGACATGTCACACCTGTGGCTCCCGTGTCCCAGGAGGGCAGGTGTGGCCCAGGAGAACCAGTGGATGTGTCTGTGAGAATTTGGAGGGGTGCTGGGAAGCCCGATCCCAAACCCCAGCAGCTCCCCATGGAATGTCCCACCCACTGTCATGGACCATATGTGACATCTCTGCATCTTATGGCCATAAGGGGGTCGCCATGCTGTGCACCCAGAGGGCCAGACCTGAGGTGAGGCCTGGTCCCCTAGCCCTGTCCTAACAAGATCTGGGACCCCATGATATGCCGGGAAGTGACCCTTCCAGCCTGCAGCCTCCTCCCTGACTGCTGAGTCTCCGAGGCTGGGTTCTGCCCCACTACCGCCCCAGGGTTTTGTCTGGGACCTGAGTGTGAGAGGCCTACAGCTCACATTTGCATGAAGTAGCCATTGAGAGAATGGGAAATAAGAAGCCTCAGGGGCCACAGTAAATTGGTTAATTAAGCTGAAATTATCTGGGGTTCACTTTATCCTGCAGCCTCCCAGCCCTCCTGCCTGTATAACGCAGTGTAACTGCCCTTCCTGGTGTTAACTCCAAAGAGACCCATTTCCTCTTCAGGAGTTTGGCCTTGTTGTCATCCCCTGGCTTCATCTTCCCTGGGCTGTGTTGCAGAACAGGTGGCAGGGGGAAGCCCAGCCACTGGAGCGTCCAGCCACAGAGGCTACTGGGCGGTGGGACACCTTCTGCCTCTCAGAGGCCACACCCCTCCGTGATGACTCCCGTGACCAGTTAGGGATGACTCAGGGACAGTCCTACCTGCCTAGTGCCCCTTGCCTCCTTTCTCTGCCCTGTGTATCCCTGGAGATGTCTGGGTCCCCTCCCAGGCAGACTTCATCCTCGAGTAGCTGCATCTGTGTGGGAGGTCCTGGGACCTGCCAGAGGCCTGTGGGAAGCACACACAGATGTCCAGTTGTGATTGTCCTGCCTTTGTGGGTCACGCTTGAGCCAGTCCTGGGGTTGTGACCAGATTCAGCTTTGCTCTAGAGCAGTGGCCATGTGTCTGGCAGGTCACACACAGGCTGGCCACACTCTCAGTCCTGCTCTGCCACCCCCGGACAGTGGGGCTGTGAGGACCACCTTGGTCCCACCATGCTGGATCTCAGTCTTGCAGCCTCTGGAACTGGGGGACACAGATGCTCAATGCTGAGCTCCTGGGTATCATGTCAGAGTCACTCTGAGTCTGAGCCACAGCCCACAGGCCTCCTGGGTGAGCCCTGAACTGCTGCAAAGTATTATTTCCTGAGCTTTTCATGCCAAGGGAGGAAGGCACTTCCCTGGGAAGCCAGGTCCCATAGGACAGCTGACTGAATGGGTTATTCTCTGAAATCCCATGTCAAGGCACCCTCCTCCACTCCCTTGATAGCTTCTGTTTGTGGAACACTGCTATTTCAACTCTAAGTCACAAAGTACCTCTTCCTGCCCACATATATCTGGGGAAAACAAGCCCTGTGTGATACACCTTACCTTCCCAGGAGGGCAGCCTATACTAGTGCTTTCCTGTTCCTTGTCTCTGAGAGATGATCGATACCATATCTGCACAGCAGATCCATTCTCCTGATTCTGTCTGCAGCCTGGTTGGCAGTTATCTGGGCTTGCTCTGCCTGCACGCTCTGATCCAGTGCTGCCTGGGCCCCCAGTTCCCTGGAGGGATCTTGGGAATGGCAGCCACAGGTGCTGGCGCTGAGTCCCAGACACCCTTCACACCAGAGCCTACAGTGGTTTGTGCTTCAAATGTTGCTTGTCTTAATCCCTGCTGGTCCTTTCTTTCTGTTGCGGGTTGGCTTGTTTCGGTGGTGAGCACACTGCGGTCCCACAGGAGGCATGTTCAGAAGTGTGCACGTTCTACCTCCGCCTCCCATCCCGCTGCCCTGCACCCTAGGAATTGAGCAGTCCTTCAAATCCCACTCCCACCACCACAGCAGACATGGCTGGTGGTACCTGACCTGCAGGGAGGGGGTGGCTCTGTGGCCCATCTGTCCCCACCTGGCCACCCTCAGGACATCCTCCTGTTGGCACCCACTTGGCAGGCAGGGCGAGGGTGTCTCTACACTGTGTTCTGGGAACTCGGGACCTCATGATGCACTCCACTTTTGTGCCGTGGGAGGAAAAGTGGGGTCTCCTCCTCTCTTGTGTCCCCTTGAGCCAGTTGTATTCAGGTGGCTGGCTCCATCTTCTGGAGCTCCTGTGGGCTTGGCCAGATTAGTCCCATCTTCTCCTGCCGGTCTGCTTCAGCTGTGGCTGCTGCTTTGGGCTCCATTGATTCTTCTGTTCCTTTTTGTTGTCCGCCTGCGTCATCTTGCAGCCACGGCTGGGGCCTCATTACAGGGCTGGTGTTGTGCACACCACACTACAGGGCTGCTTCTCTACAGCAAGGGTAAGCACGGCAGCTCTGCTGAGCGAGAGCCTACCTCCTCCTGCGTGGCCATGGGAGGGGAGGCTGTGGTGCCTGGAAGGGGCTCCCTTAGGCACTTGGTGCCTGGATGAGGTGGCCCTGGTCACAGTGTTCAACCCCTCAGGTCTTAGCAGCCTCTGCATGTTTACAATGCTCCTGGGCTGCATCAAGAAGTGCTGTCTGCAGAGCCCTCAGGGAGCAGAGAGGTGCTGGGTGATCCTATCCTGGCCACCCTGCTGGATGACAGCTGCAGCCACTCTGGCCATTCTGACACCTGTGTGCCTGGTGATCCCTGCACCCTCTCCAGTCGGCGCTTACTGCTCTCTGCTTGTTTGTGTTGTTTCTGGGGCATCTGCTCTGCTTCTTTTGATTCAAATTCAGTAGCTAGTGACTTTTCAGAGAAGCTCCTGAAGCTGAATCAGCACCCTGTCCCGTGAGACACCCACAGTGTTCAGCTAAGACCTGAGGGGTTGAACCTTCCTCTGGAAGGTCTTTTGGGCAGGGGTCAGGGAGCCCATGCCGCCTGGTTTCCTTGGTTAGTGAGTGGCTCCATGAAGAGGACCATGATGGACCATTGCTGCTCACAGAGAAGAGCTGTCAGTGTGAAGGGAAGAGGGAAGGAAACATCACTTCAGACCGAGGGCATTTTACACCACTGTGTGTCTGCCTGCTCCTTGGCTCATCTGATCACTGTGACCTCGGCTCCAATGCCGGGTACAGCTGGTGTAGGAGTTGGGCTCAGGCCCTCTTCAAGGCCAGTACCCCACCCCACTGCAGGTAGGCTGGGCCACTGTGGGTGTCTCACGGGACAGGGTGCTGATTCAGCTTCAGGAGCTTCTCTGAACAGTGGCTACTGCTGAAGAGGAGGAGTCCCCAGAAAGTCCCTGGACGATCTCTGTAGGCCTCAGTGCCACTTAGGATTTCCACCTGTGTTGAAGGGCAACATCCAGGTGCACGTACAGCATCAACATAGGCTTCTTCTTCACAGCTGGGTCAGAACCACTTTGAAAACGTGTGGTGAACAGGAGTCGGGTGCCCTCAGACACGAAAGCGTTCTATTTATAGTTGGGTCTCAGAGGAGTGTGTGGACCTGGACTATCCTAAGCAGCACATGACTGCAGCTGACTCTGCCCTACACCAGGCAGGGGCAACACTCAGGCTGGGCCTCGGCCCTGCTGGACCAGCCGGCAGTCATAGGAGCTGCTATAACTTGGCACTGCACTCCCCCAGAGGTCACAGGCTATAGGCATGGCCCCAGGCTGGACACCAAGAAAGAGATAGGGTCAGCAGAGCCCCCAGGAGAAAGTCAGGCCATGTGTGAACGTGGCCAGGAGTGAATGATGAAACTGAATGATTTAATTGCAGGACAAAAGCGCACAGGATCTGTGAGGAGTGAATGGTTAAAATATGGGGAAAAAGAACACAAATAATTAAACTCCGGGAAAAAGGCATACAGGCTCTGAGAACAAACAAACTGTGGGGCAAAAGCACACAGGCTCTGTGAGAATTGAATGGTTAAACAACAAGAAGTTTACATTAGTAAATGTGTTGTGTTTGACCACGTCCTTCCCCTTTCCCCAACAAAAGCTGCTTAGCCTTGAGACGGCTCCTGGCCCAAACCTCTTTTCTCCTGCCTTTTTTCTCTACACTGATATTCTAAATAAAAGCCAGAGAGTTCTCAGCATGGGGGCTTTTTTCTTTTTCCAGAGTCACCATAATAGCTGGGCACTCTGGATTGAGAGATAGCCCCTCTCCTCTAGGCCTCTCAGTAGACTCTGAGCAATCTTTTCATCCTCCATGTGCCCTCGGTCAGATACTGCAACAAGGCCGCAGGGGTGGTGTCTTGAAGGGGACACTGGATCCCCCACCTATTCTTTCTTTCTCACACCAGCCATGAGATGCCTGGCCTCATCTGCCAGCTACTTCTGACACGTGCTCCTGTGTGATGTGCTGGGCAGGCACAGGCTCACGGGCTATGGACTAAACCCTCT